TCAGAGGGTGAGGTGTGCTTTGAACCTGTTGAGGCTTGGGGTGAAGGATTGGTGGAGATTAACCACGGGGGTCATATTCGGATGCACAGAGGGCTGCAGTTTCATGGGACCAGTTCCGAGAGATGTTTAGCACTCGTTATGTTCCGCGGGTTGAGAGGGAGAGATTGGCTCAGGATTTCCTTGAGCTGAAGCGGGATTCGGAGTCAGTGATGGAGATCACCAGGATGTTCACTGAGAGGGCGATGTTTTGCCCCGAGTTTGCTTCGGAGCAGGCTCAGATGTCCCGATATCTGAGTATGCTCAAGAGGGATATCAGACAGTTTGTGTCTACTCAGAGGTGCGAGACCTTGTTAGAGTTGCAGGAGGGCGCCAGATGGCGTGAGTTGGAGATTGAGTTGCAGTTATGAGAGCAGAGGCAGGCTCCGGTGCAGTCGCAGCTGGCGCCGAAATGGTCTAAGACCGTTGATTCTAGATTGGGAGATTAGAGCAGCCACATTTGTGGGAAGTGTGGGAAGGGTCACACCGGAGTTTGTCGGTCCGGTGGTGCATGCCGCAAGTGCGGAAAGGAGGGGCACTATGCGAGGGATTGTCGACAGGCAGTCCCGAGTCGGTATTTGAGGATCTATTATCATTGTCATCAGGTTGGGCACTTGAGGGTCAACTGTCCACAGCTTGCTGCAGGACCGGTGCAGGCTCCAGCACCGGCCACGTTGAAGATCACAGGTGGAGGTTAGGGTGGAGCGGAGCCCCCAAGGGCTCAGGGTCGTGCTTTCCAGCTTACAGCGGAGGAGGTTAGGGCAGTACCGGATGCAGCTACGGGTATGTTTCTTTCTTGATATCCTGTATTTTATGATTATTAAGGAGTATTGTTTATCTGCTAGTCTCGTTGTGTGGTTTTCGGTATTGTATTCTTTCATTCCTGAGGGTTATTAGTGGGAATCGGGTGTGTGGTCTGAAGATCGGGTAGCATCTACAGTCTGAGGAGTGGGTAGCTGAAGATCGAGTCCTTTCAAGCCGGGATGATCAGTGTTGATGTGTGATTTGTGAAGGTTGCTCGTGTTAGTGGGAATCAGTTCGTGTGTAAGTGTTTGTGTCCTGAAGGGCTGTTGAGGGAGGTCGGTAATGACGACCGGTGGTTGATAGTCAGTGCTTTAAGTGGGGGAGAATTGGAGAATTCTCCGGAAGATCGGTGAGCACGAGAGTTGTTTAGATGCGTGGGACTCAACAGTGTTTCGGTCAGCCAAAAGCATAGGCTGGTATGAGTAAGTGGCAGGCGTGCGAGGCAGGTTACAGACCAAGGGTGATTGATTGTGGAAGCCCTAGGATCGGGCCGGGACTGAATATGTGGGATTGAGGTAGAGTTCCGAACCCCTAGAGGGCTAGAACAGTATGCATGGGAGGAGTTTCCCGAAGGGGTAACTCGGAATGTTGATTACTAGTTGAGCGGTCCGGATAAACTTAAGGCCGGTAGGCGTACCAGTCAGACCGAAGGCTCAGAGAACGGTCCAGCCAGACTGAAGGCTCTGGAGAGCGGTCCTGGTCTGCTGAAGGTTCTAAGAGTGGTCCAGTTTGGCTGGAGGTCTGGTAAGACGGTCCAGTCATGCTGAAGACTCTACATGTCTCATTAGATCGGTGCGAGGAAATGGATTGAGTATGTCGTGATATGTTAGCATTAGAAGGTCTGGCCCTGGATATTGATCACGATTAGTGGAGGTGGTGCATGGACTCGAGAGTCCCTGCGAGCGGATTCAAAGTACGAGTGGTGCATGGGATAGCGGTTATGCCATAAGGAAATAATGTAGTATTGCGTGAGTGGTGGTTGTCGAGGCCAACACAAATAATAACCCTAAATATTACACACTAAAATAGTGTATAGTGGTAAAGGGATCGAATCCACGGAGATTGGTTCAATTTGATAACTCTATGAAAAATCTCTTTGTAGAATACTTGGAATATGACAATAAATTAAAAATGGGGGTTTTGATGTTTTGAAATACTTGAAACAAACTAGAATTAACTATGATTTAAATAGACAATTGCAACAAAAATAAGAATTTGATGTAAAATCAATAAGGGAAAGATGGTTGACTTAATGTTTTCTCACTTTGACTTTTGATGAACATATCATTAGAATTCAATGGTGCAATACTTGTTTTAAATCCTCAATTTGGCTATAGTAATCCAAGGAGCTTGAGATTACCTAGACTTTTCTTAATTGTTGAAATGGCTAGAGAAGCTCATAACAATGTCCTTAGTCAAAGTCACTAATTCCAAATAGCATGTAATTAGTGAAAGTCAACTAGCATTAAGAACCAAAAAGTCACCAAATCCAAGAGGGGTCAAATGCTTTCACCACCATGTTGGAGGAAATGTTTTTATGATTGTGTGAAGCAAAAACAACACAAAAATCATTTGTTGCTTGCTAATTTGAGGATCCTTTACTTAATCAAGAAATTAGCCAACTAATCACCACAAACACATTTAAACTCATGAACTAAAACATACAAGTAATGATAAGATGTTAAAACACAAAACATTGCCATAAAGATTCAAGAACATGTTCATGGATTCTTCAACATTCAACAAAAGTTCAAAGGATTAACCAAAAGTCAACCAAGATTAGCTTAGCCAAGCATGGCTAAACACAAAGAAACAAAGTTAGAGAAATTTGTACCAAACATTAAGCAAGAATCAAGAGGTAAAAATATGATGTTCTTCAAGGGTTCTTGGCCTTCAAAAGTCTTCAAAACTCCAGAGAGAATCTCCATAAATCGGATGTCTAAGAGTATGCAAAAGATGGGCACCAACCTTCCTCAAATAGCTCAAAAGAAGAATTTCCGAAACTACCCCTGCAGGAGGTTGCGCGACCCGCGTGCTCTTGCGTGGGTGGTCACTGGATGTAGCATCTTTGAGGTTTTGGGCCTCCATAGCTTAGCCCACTTGGCCCAGGTCGAATCCAATCACCTCCTAGCCCATTTTCTTCAAGTTTTTCTTCATTTTAAGCCCAATTTGACCTCTCTAAGTCTTCAAATAATCATCAAGATCACTCTATGCATCATCTCCACTACCCATCAAGCCCAACGTCATTTTTGCCTACCAAATCTCATCGCCTCCTATACATCCCGAACACTCCCGCTCCGCTAGACCCGAAAACCTGCAATTATGCTCACAATATTCGAGAGTACCCGAAATAGTCATAAAATAACAAAAAGGAAAATATGCATGGAAATTATCTAAATTATGAATGAAATATGCTAAAATAAACTATAAAAATGAAGCTATCAAATCACCCCAAGCTTAAACCTTACTTGTCCTCAAGTAAGACAAGACTAAATGAACTTGGGATGAACTACCCTAGAAATAAAAAGAATGGATAGAACCATGGAACCTGTTCGACGTTAGTCAACATGGTCAGAATTGATTTCGCTGCTATCTCACAACTTTTTCATCCGATGACAATGGAACCATAAACCACAGCCAGGACAACTCCTTTAGGTGAGTAAGGAGGGATGAGCAGTCACAGCCTCAATGGAACATGTATACAATGAAGAACATCTGTAGTAGGGAGAAAGCAAATGGATGGGCTCGGGTGGAGCTCTTCTTTAAGTGCACACTCTGATCTCACATCTGCCGGTTTCTCTCATGTGTAACTAGGTTTAATCGCTCGGGCACCGTTGTAGGAATCAGTTCACTTAGTGTTGGCCCAAACCTCCCATAGTATCCGACTCGACAGTCTCTCTAACATCACCAATTTGTGAGAAAGAAAGAAAAAAAATAACAACTCGATCTATATACAATAAAACAGACCTATACAAATGAATATCAAATGTTGGGTGACCAAGATGTTGAGAAATTTGTTCAATAATTGAACCGGCCACCTATCTAAGATAGTTGCAACTGAAAATTTACATGCTTCAATTTTTATTTTTTTTGTCCCCGAGATGAAAAAAAAACCCTTTGACTCAAAATTTGGTTCCCAAAGGTGTGTAAGTGGAACCAAACGGGTAATGATATAATCCGAATGGCCTAAGTGTGAAAATGACCATGTGTGGAGCATAAAGATGTAATGTAAGCTCCTTTTCAAACTTGTGGTTTTTCAAAGATAATGAAAATGTCCAAATGTGGACTAAAAGACTCTCTAAATTCTAAGAAAATCGCAAAAAGATATGGTGATGTAAAGAGACCGGATATGGATTCTACTCAGGGACAAGCACCAATGCTTCATCCTAACAGTTCAAACATGATCAAGTGTGATCCTCTCCGCGGTAGTGACCGCAAGGCTAAGAACACCCATTGCTATAGTATATCCTACAGTTGTTAGTATTGTATGCATAATTCTTCATGAAACTACCTGGCCATGATCACTTACCCCTTTAAGCTACCAGCATCTGATCCCAAGTATGAAATCCAAAACTGCAGCTAGTGGTCCCGATTCGATGGGTGAGATAGCAACAAGATCCTGGACCAATAATGATACAATAACTGTGAACCTGTTCCATGGCATCCAAGAGAGGTGAGAATAAACAGACAACAAAAATGCATGAATGTTAATGTCTTAAGCTAAATGTTATGCAAAAATAAACAGTGGAAAAGAAGAAAATAAAATCTTTTTGAAATTTTATAAAATAAAAAAAATGAATGCAAATTAACTTAAACTAATATGTTATGCAACCTAACTAAAAATGCATGAAAAAGAGTAAAAAAAAATAAGGGAAATGCCCCACCCCAAGCTTAAAAAACAAGCATTGTCCTCAATGCTTAAGGAAAGGGCGAAAAGGACCTAAATCGGAGGGTCGGGCGGCGGGAAATGCCCATGGCGATAGTGGTAGTCCCACATATCCTGGACCTGGCGGGAAGTGTGAGAGGAGGACTGCTCCAATCGATCAACACGGCTTGCAACATCTAGGATGGCTCTCGAATTCTCTTGCGTTTGGGCGTCGATGCGCTGCACCGTGGAGAACATTGTGGCAAATTGGTCAAAGAACGTGGGGGGGGGGGATATGGTGGGACTTCGTGTCCCTCCTGCTGATGCGGCTGGTCAAAATGTTGTCGAGGGGCCTGGAATTGATCATGCTGAAACATCGGCTGCTGCATTGAGGGCTGGTCAAAATGGTCCTCAGCTTCGGGCATCTCGTCGTCCTCTTCGTCATCTTCTTCCTCTTGTTCCTCTGCGTCGTCACCCTCATCATCACCGAATTCTGGGAATACACCTACTTGGGTTAACTGATCTGGAGGAAGCCAAGTGTCAGGGTCGCCTGTATCGAATGAAGAACCGATCCAACTTGGCAGGATGTAAACCGGGGCTTTGTCAGAGTCTAACCAACTGTACGTGCGGGTTCCCCGATCGAGCAACATCTCCATCCGGATGAGAGTGTCACAATCTAGCAGGAAGTTCGGTGGGGTGTCGACAGGTATGTACTCGGGATCCGGGAAGTCTAGGCCGACGGCTCGACCTATGATCGTGATAACTCCCCTGATGAAAATTTCCCCTGAGGAACGTTGGCGTATGGAGTCACATTTGTCCAAAAAGAAGCCTGAAAAACTGAGGGGGAGTGCACGCCTCATGCTTCGGAGGAAAAATAGCTCACATCTGTTGATTTGACCGAGCTCGAGACGCCCGAAAATACTCGTCGTAAGGACTCGGTGAGCAATTCGCCAGCAGGGGTGAATGATGTGCTTGGCTCGCTGTCGGCTTGGTTGAAGGTTTCGAGACCGGAAATTTGCATCCAAAAGTTTGCATCAGGGTAACGCAGAAAATCTTGGTACTCTTGATTTTGGGGGCTGATGCGGAATGGATCGTCTATACCCATGATAGAATCAAGCTCTTCGTATGTGAGCCTATGATGCTCCCCTTTCAACTGGAATGTGAGGACTTTCGTGTCATCATCTCGTGCATATGTGCTAAGAAATTCATTGTGGTTCCTCGTAAGTTCTGTCACAAAGTCAAGAAAACCACGCCAACCGAGTTTTAGGAACAAATTGTATACACCATCATGCACCCCAAGCTTTTTCATAGACTTTTTATGGTAGAATTTTGTCGGCCGGATTGCGCGACCCCGAAGATTGGAGCGATAGGTTTTGATCTCAGCATTTGTAAGGGAAGGATCGCTTCCCTCTTCTCCTCTTTTTTTTCGTTTACCGGCTGCTTTGCGTGATGGACCGGCGACATCCTTTTGCGGGTTAGGATCGATCGATGATCCATGGGTGCATGTCCGAGCGTGGTTTTGCCCATTTTCGAAACTACAATATCAAAACAACTTCACCAACGTAATCCCTCACCTCACCACTCTCAATTAATGCAACTATCTTTAGACCGAACACAAAAAAATCCAAGAAATAATGACACCCAACTTTTGACAATGTAAAATGGTTTCAACAACACCACTCGGTTAATTTGATAATCCCAACAAAATTCGGCAGCAATACGAGACAAAATGAGAAAATCCAACCAAAGTTTAAACAATTTTTGAACAAATTTCCAAGCAAATTAACCAATCTCAACCTTTCTCAAATCAATGTTTCCAAATAAACCGGCAACAACTAACGATCTTAGGCAATTTCCAAAGCATAATTGGATGCAATTATCGAATTGAAACCAATGCAATGTAATAAAAACCAAGGAAAGAGAATACCCGTATTATCCCAAAATTGAACTTGAGCCCGAATCCGCTACCGTGCACCCCAAGCTTTTGTTATTCGTGGGTGCCTAAACGCAAGACTTGTTCATTGAAGGGATATTTTCAACTTGATTTGTGTGAAAAATCCGACGGCGGCTCGTGGTGGCTCAAAAATTATGGGAAAATTTTTTGGTGAGATTTTGAGGTTTTTGTTTGTTAGATGTAAAGTTCCTTGAAAAAGAAATACTTTGGTGGTGTCGGAATTGCGAGAGGTGGTAGGAGTTGGCCGGAAAATGGTCGGAAAGCGG